AAAGACCAAAAATTTTATGAGCGTGGAATTATGCTACTACCAGAAAGATGGCAAAAGGTGTTGGACCAGAACGGTCAATATATAATTTAATAAAGTATTTGTTTATTATACGAAAACTGTCTTTCATTTCCACAAAAAAAAAACGAAATGACTTTCCGAACAACCCTATACATTTTATGCATTTCAAACGTGAGGATGTATTAAACACCCAATTGTATCCATGCCGCCCATTAAGATACCGCACCCGGCACACCAAGAACACGGTATGGCATAAGTTGCTTGGTGGGTATATAGTTAGAGTATAAAAAGATGTGTTATAATCAACCGGTTGGAAATAATTCTATGCCAAATTTCGTATTCCACGCCAACGAAGTTGCAGACAACAGGCCAGCCTTAAATAAGTGTTTAATAAATTCGGCATGAATTTGGCGTGAAATTTTTGATTCACGTTGTTTACGGGTCCGTTACACCTGTCGGAATGGAATTAATATCGCTTTTAATCAGATGGAATGGGCCTTCCGAAATTCAAACCAGTAATTACTACAGCAGCCTCGCCACTAGATTGTGAAGCATGCTTATTACGACCGCAAAAGAACGATAGGTGTAATTCTAGAACGTATCGTTCGTATCAGGGCTGATATTGCTTAGCGACCAACGGCGACAATGATGGTGACGGTTGTTCTTGTTTGTGTATATTACACTGGGCACCTATGTAGATATAGCAAGTCACCGGGAAGTAACATGGCAACACAAATATTATTTCTAGTCCGTTATGTTAGGTTTGTGGTTTTCCATTTTTTTAATTTTTTTTTTACGTCTAGGTAATTTCTTTTTATTTCGATTCCTTTACTTTTCAAACAACGACTTGTTTGCATTACCCTTACTTTAACAGTTACATTGCGAAACGCAAGGACAATTCGCTAATAATTTCATAATTCATAATTCTCAAACCAAGAGCATTAATTAAATGATTGAAAACCGTAATACATTTGTATAAAGAAGAGCCATATGTGGCTCATTGGCCCCTTGAGCGTGTCTTTGACGAAAATGAGCACGTTTTGGCGTTAATGGTAGTTAAAATCGTCAATAACGTCATTAAATACCGCATGATCTTCAGTTAACGCCCTGTTGCATATTGATGCATCTACCAAACTAGGAAGGAAATTGTAAAAAAGGTGGGATTACAGTAGAATGATGAAAATAGATACCATACTTAGAAAAGGTCAGAAACGATGAGGCATTTGAAAGAACAGGAGAGCAAACGGTGATATAAAAGGAAATGAAGAAAAACAAAAACAGACGATAAGACACCTTTTTAGACATGAGGCAACTACATTAGTTAAGAATGTAAGTTGTTCCAGTTTTCAGAAAATTGGCTGATTGGTATAAGCATGAGGAAGCTCTATATTAATTAAGGAATGTGAGATGTTCCTTTTTTCAGACAATTGACTTAGGATGACCCTGAAATGATAATAATGATAATATAAGTACCTTAATAACCATTTCCTTAACAGTTTCGCGCTTCTATCTGAAAAGTTTGCCGAACCTAGATTCATAAACCAAACGGTAAAAATGACCAACTTACTAACAAGCAATTCAAAGTTAAAATCGCTTATTTATGGTAAGAATCTCAAGCAAATTGTCAAACCAATTATGAAATCCTACATCTATAAGATATTCCAGAAAACAGTACTGGGTTGAAGAAGAAAAACAAAGAATCTTAAGAGTTATACAAACACCTTCATATTTGTTAGTCGATTTTTAATGGTCTAGAGCTTGGGAGATGCGTTTTTGTCGCCTAATTCTGAGTTAGGTTAAGAATTCTTTGTGGTACCATGAATAGCTGTGTCAAACAGACGCTGGAATACCTACTTTGTCCAATTAACCTACTTTGACCAGTAAACAATTTCTAGACGCCCAACAAAAATATGTAATCAAAATAACCGTGGTTGTCGGTTAAAATTTACAGTTCTATCCAAAACTAAAATTTTTAGTTGTTTCAAGAATCTAAGCCATTCATAGTAAAAATGCCTTTTTATTGTGTCAATCAGTATCATTGATATTGTCAAACACAAAATTCCCAGTAACCATTTGCGTTTTAAACCTTTTCAACATGGATTAATAACAGGAGAAGAGAGACGGCCGCTGTTGGCAGATAAAAAAATGCGATAACGTCAAATGAAGTCACTACAGGAATGCAAAAAACCGGCCCTGGAGTGGCACATTTTTGCGCTCGATGTGATTGATAAGCAGAAACGTCAACGGCTGCATAAAACTTCGCGGTTATAATTATAAACATCTCGACAGTTACGACCTACGCCTAACCCGTGCTGACCAACGAGGTACGATAAGAAAATTAAAGAAAAGACATGACAACCAAAGTCGATAACGGCAGCAAATTTCTCCTGCTCTCCCCCACCCTAAACAATAAACATTCTTTAGCAGATTTTGAAAACAAAACATTCTAGGTATACATACTGCTTTGTTCGCAATGCCCTTGAAATATCCAGAATAAAAATTTATACCTGTTGGCAAAGCTTGAAATATACAAAACTCATCAAATACATCTTGATGTTACATTCTGACGATTTCGTACTTGTGTTAAACTTTTCTTCACACTAATTCCTATCATCCGCTCGACTCTAACCTTGACGAAGCTCTAATACAAATTGGTGGATCGGCTTGCGAGTTTTAATGATTTAGGGAGCTGGATCATAGCTTCAACCATAATGGGGGGTGGGGGTCTTAAAGATAAACTAGACTAAGACATGTCCCTGAAGGAGGGCAGCAGCTCTTTCAGTACTCAGGGTGGCAGAGATCACCAGGATCAGTATGACAATCTGATGCACAATTCTGCGATGTTGAAGGTAACGGGAAACCTCCACATTATGATGTCCTAAGAAAAACATACCAAACTAAAATGATGACGTCCAATGGGGTATTGCACTCGGGACGTAATAAGTGAAGGTAAAGACGATGTAATAGCAGGCTCTTTGGGATTAAGCAATAGAAATGACATGGGAGATAGACCGATAGAACTTTGCGATAAACATAACCTAACCGTCGCAAATACTTTATTCAACCATCACGATAGGAGGCGCTATACGTGGAAGATGCCAGGTGATTTAGGGAGATTTAAGTTAGATTACATACTTGTTAGGCAAAGATTTAAAAATAAAGAGAAAAAAAGAAGGAAGGTAGGAGCTAAAGTATAGCAAAACATATAAAGAACAGACGAAAAACTAAAGGAGGCGGGAGAAGCGAATGACAGGGACATAGAGACAGAACGGAACTGCATTAAAACGTGCAGAAAAAAAATCAGCAGTTACAGATGTATTAGGTCTTAAACAAAATGAAAGTAGGAAACCCTGGATAACAAACGAGATGGTAGAATAGGAAAATATAAAAACAGGACAGACGAAGGACAAAAAGGATATAAGGCAATCAAGTGAGAAATAATTGTAAAGTGTAGAGAAGCTAAGGAACGATGGATTGATATGAGGTGTAAAGAAGTAGAAGAAAAGTTTGAAGTAAAACGCATGAGGCTTATAATATAATTAAAAGGAATTTTAGAGAAGAAAAGGCACAAAAGAATAAGATGTGGAATGTTCTAGTTTTAGAAAAATGAGAAGATTAGCTCAGGATAGGAAGGAGTGGAGGTGCGGGTCCAATCACTAGGACTGACCTGATTATGATGAATTCTTATTTTATGGTAATCATCAATGTAGGTTGCTCTAGCTACATCCTTAATCATTTGCGAACTGTCCATATAACTGGAAGTATAAGCCACTTGCAAGTGGAACCGCTATGTACCCTTTTCTCTGATCGTAAAGCATATCAAAAATCAGTCAGCAAAATTTTTATGTGGGTTTTTATTGTTTATGTACCTACACTATGATGATTTTTATTTTTCGATGAGACAGATTCTAAAGGACTAATCAGACTCGTCCTTTGCCGAAAAATTCTCACTGAATATTTGGTTTTTCCGTAAATGAATTAACCGAATATATATTCGATATTGGGTTAATTGCTCTATTTACTATAAGCCCATCAGTTTAAAATGATTTGGACTGAAAATTCATACATGGGTATTATGAAATAATTACCATCATTTCTGGGTAATTAATTATTCGTGTACAAGATTTGTTTTCTTTTTTTTTTTAATGGAGTAACCAGAAATTCCGTTTCTTCTATCTGATTATTGTTTCATTTTTTTCAGGTTCTACAACAAGCCGGAAACGTAGAAAGATTGGGTAGATTTCTATGGTCATTGCCTGCTTGTGACAAACTGCATAACAACGAATCCGTATTAAAAGCCAAAGCTATTGTTGCATTTCACAAAGGAAACTTTAAAGAACTGTATAAAATTTTAGAAAGTCACAATTTTAGTCCTCATAATCATTCCAAACTTCAAGCACTCTGGCTTAAAGCTCATTACCTCGAGGCAGAAAAACAGCGAGGTAAGATGTCATTGTCTTTTCTTCTCTTCTTCCCTATAATACCTAATTTCATAAGTAATGATACAAAGTCAAATAATGAGATTCAAACGATTGTCACTATGTTTTGGTGGAAAATAAAATCAAAGCAACTACATAAAATTAATAAACTGTATTAATATTAAGCCAAAAAGGTAACTATTTTTGGACAATGAAATGTTTGAATAGGGTTCAATATTCTGGTTTTATAACCGTTGGCTGTGATCCAGGATTGATCCTCCTTCTGTTCTACAGCAAAGGCTTCTATTTAATTGTTACGTTTTTTGAGGATGAGGTAGAAAGAAGCTGGCCAAAAGTTGGTTAAACGGCTTTTCTCTAAAAGAGGACAGCCAATCCTAAATCAGGACCTTCAAGACCTTTTTTAAATATTACCGATGCGAAAACCTGAATTAATTCATTAATTTATTTCATTGTTCCATTAGTTCAGCATCACGATCAGTCAGTCAGTAATGTTATTTTCTTGTCCATTGCACGTACATATTATTAAATTATCGTTTATATTTATAAGTTCCTACTTATGCCAAAATTTACTTGTGATGCTAGCCTGCCTAGTTCTTTACTTTAATTCTGTTTACATAATACTACAGTATTTATTTTGTTGAGAAATTTTAGTATAGTCGGAGTTCCACGTATTACTTGATACTGTCGAAATTAACTGATTTACTATAGAGTAGCCGATGCTCAGTTTTCTTCTTCTATTAACATAGAATTATTAAACAGAAACGTATGGGTTAATAAGACCCGTTTTGTTTGCCTATTTTGGATCGGGTAAAGAACAATTCCACAGCTGAATTGACTTCTTTTTATAATAACTCAAGATATGAAGATTCTTAATCGAGATACTTAATACTTTTCATATACTTTAGTACTTACTGAAAAACTTCACAAACATAAGTCGCGAAGCATTTGTTTTTAACCATGTATCACTGTTGTTGGACTTTCTGGACATACTGAAGCTAGGAGGGCATAATGTACCATTAAAATCAAAACAGCATCAGTTCACCGACAGGACGCGAAAGCCGTTATCAATTTGACATGTTTTATTTGTTATCATTACATGGTAGTCAGTCCAGAAGTTGGTTTGATACGCATCTCCACTATACAGTCCTTCTTATCCTGAGACAATTTTCACATTTTCCTAAAACCAGAATATCCCTCATCGCTAGCTATCTGCGCATAGCAATCTAGGTCTTTTTCTGCTCTTCTTCACTTCTGTATCTCCATTTGATTATGACATCATATCTGAAACGATTCTAAATTTTCCGCCGCTCCCACCGTCAAATGGGAGGAGCCTTAAAACATGGCGCCAATTAGGGAAAATTTATCGTAGTTCCTATAGTGTACCGTGCATTTTCCAAGTTTTTAAATTACGATAAAATGATAAGTATTGACACAAAGCCTCGGAAAGGAAATTTCGTTGAAGGTGAGCGTGTTTTTAATGCCTATAAAATTCGGAAATAGCAAATCCGGAAGCTAGCCTTAAAATTCCGTCAAGTTTACTGCCTACTTTTTACAAACATCGGATTTAAAAAGTGATTCACGTTATATAATTGGTGAGGTGATTCTGGGTGATTTAAGCAATATCATATCAATGACTTGCACGTGCAAAGCCGATTTAAGAGAACGTTGCAAACACATTATTGCAACTTTGTTGTATTGTAGCAGGTAGGTTCTTAACCTCAAAATATTTATATCGTATCATTAGAATTGTGTTAAATCAATTACACAGGAATAAATAATTTCTCACTTTATAATTTTAGTATGATTCTAGTTTTAAATATTAAGGTTATGGTTGATGGTAAATACTTGCTGAAATATAATCATTTGCATTAAAATGACGTGAACAAATTTTTATTCCGGAATTCACTTCTTTGATACCTACTGCTTTCATCCAAGCTTCTATTAGTTTTACTTTCTTCTCTAATTTTCCGAATATATTTTTTACATATATAAAACGGTTAGTTTTTATTGTAAAGTAGTTAATGTAGGTAGAGTGAAGATCTATGTCTGAAGTGCTATTGCAGCTTTTCACTGAACATATTAACTTTTTATTTGATTTAACTTTAAAAGAGAACTTCGTCGACTCCATCACCAAAAAAAATATTTTTACTTTTTTAACGTGTTTTATTATTTTAATAAACAATTTTACAATTTCCGTGCACAGTTCCTATGTAAATTTTTCCCTCATTCGAGTTATAAATTTTGCCACCAGATGGTGTATGCCCATTTGACGGATCCCAATAGTGTAAAAACAAACAAAAAATCGGATTTTCTGACTCTCCTTCTGAAAAAAGCAATTGTTCCAAACAATGGTCCATGGTAATACATCTATCCATGTATGCAGTTGCTGTGGGTAGTGGATGTGTCTGTCTGTACCCATAGAAATAGCATTTGTGATTTCTTGCAGGTAGGCAGCTGGGTGCTGTGGGCAAATACCGCGTCCGACGGAAGTTTCCTCTCCCCCGCACCATATGGGACGGCGAAGAGACAAGTTACTGCTTCAAGGAAAAATCAAGAAGCGTTCTAAGGGAATGGTACTCACACAATCCTTATCCGAGTCCGCGGGAAAAAAGAGAACTCGCCGACGCAACTGGACTTACAACCACCCAAGTTTCCAATTGGTTTAAAAACAGACGGCAACGAGACAGGGCGGCGGAGCACAAAGAAAGGTAATTCTTTCTTTTTAACCCTACGTGGTTATTACCCATTTCCAAATATTAATGCACCGTACCAAAATGAAACACTTTCAGTACATCGAATTAATTCAGGGCTTTCCAGAGTGTCATATTCCTGATTTCATACAAAATTGTTTTGTAGATTAGCATATGCTTAGATTTGCGAATCACTAATGTATCTAATAGGTAGGACTGAGCCCTTTTGAGGCTGGTAGCACTGAACAAGTAATTGGGGCTTCGTGTATGAACTAAGTATTTTATATAAAACATTTTGCTATGTGCTATCGGTAATTCAAAGGGCGTTAAGCCCTTTCAAAGAGTTTCAAGCAGTTCCAAAGTGCGTAGGGATTTGAATCTAAATCTATAAGCGGTTTCGAAATAATTGGCAATTCCGAACCCAATTGGGTAAAGCAAATTAAGTAAGAGCTATGGGCTTGGGGTTCGGAACTCTTTTGGTCAGGACTTTGCCCAGATTGGATTATTGGAGGTATCCTTAAATAAAACGGAGGCGATATATTGGTATATAAGAAAGGCGAAAGTAGGGTTAAAGCTCATATAAACATCGGAGACGGAAAACTAAATGATCGTCGATTTCCAATATCTGGGAAGTCAAATAAGAATAAAAGCGATAAAGACCTGAAATAAACAATAGCATAAGGTCGAGTCGCATCCAAGGATCATAGCTGGCCAGTGATTAGTATTGTGTGCTTCCAAACCTTTCAGGTCTTGGAAACACTGTAATTTAAGCTTTTCGATGAACAAGGGGTTGAGCTTTGGTACACCAATTACTTTATGAAAATGCTTAATAATTAAATGGGCTTCAAGCTCTTTCAGAGTGCTTGTAGGTGGGCATTATAAATAATTATAATTCGAAGTTTTGGACTTCTTGGGCCTGGCTTCAAGAATTAAAACGCTTTAGGTGGGGCTTTGAGTACATTTAGATAAATAACAATCTTTCCTGGTTAGGTTCTTCCAAATTAGCCCAAAACTGTCATCATTAGTTTACTTATCAAAAGAAAAGCTTTTGGATAGAAAGAATCAATTTACAAAAAACATTTTTTTGAAATGGGCAAAATGCCTGCGAACCATAAATAAAGAACAAAATAATTATTTGAAACGCATTTCCTGTCGATGATGCCGTGTGCCGTGACATTTCTGGCTCGACTCTCTTTCTAAGTATTCCACACCACATCTCCCTAGCGCTCTCTAATGCGCATTAGTTTGAGAAGTGAGAAAATAAAAGAATCGAACGCGGTCGGTTTGTGGTATAAAATGGAATCGCAATGGTATCAAATTACGGCTCATATGACTCATATTCTATTTCGAGCGTCGTGTCGACGATGGCCCCGGCGCCGTCGCTACGCCACGATTTGTCGACGCTTAGCGTGAAAACCTGGCGTCGCCGTCGGTCGCTTCCCACCGTTTCACTCCCGAGTTCCCATGCTTACTTTGTAACTAACCACATACTACATAATAACTGGTTGACTAGTGGGATTTGACTTTTGCAGCTCTGTTATTACATTCTGCTAGACTATTATTGATGAGGTATTAAGTAAAAAAAAAATAAAGTCTTCAATTAAAATAGAAATCGAGATCTTGTTTACTAATTTGCCTAATTCCACACGTTAAATTAGAAAAAGTCACCAACATTCGGTATTTAGAATGCCAGATAACTCAAGATAGAAAAATGTAGAATAGCAAAGAGTCAAGTCATTAATAGCTTAAGAGAGATTACTGTTCGCGGAAGGTTAATTTAGAATTTCGAAAAAGATTATTAAACGTAGGAATATATTTCGAGCGCGACGAAAATGAAAAAATTTGGTTAGAAACGAGGAAATATTGGAAAACATAGGAGAATAGGAAAAGGAGAGATAGGATGGTAGGACATCTTTTGAGAGATGAAGGACTGGTATGTCTGAAATAGAAACATGAGTACAAATTGACAGAGGAAGGCTTGGAGGTGGGGTGTTGTAGCTTTCGGGAAATTGGAAAGTTGACTCATGATAGAAAAGAGTGAAGCTGCATCTCCAATCACCTACGATGATGATACTGAAAATGGTTTTAATTGAAGATCTTCGCCAAAATCTACATCAAAGATCATTTCCAAATTTTTGGATATATGGTCTAGTTTGGAAATGGCAGAGGAAGATACAAAATACATATATAAAAACAGTTATTTCTAAATATTTCAGAAGCTATTGTTACGATGGTCATTATAACTAACATTGACAGTATTATCAATGATTAATGATAGAATGTACAGCGTTGAGTACTTTACAAATTGCTTTTTTTAGGCTTTTGAGACATTTTGATGTTACCAAAGTCCATTAGTTTATTTTTAACGTTCTTCATTCAAATTTAATTTATTTTGGACAACTAAAAGTAATACCAATAATATTGTATACAAAAAGTACTACAGAATGTTCATTAAAAGAAAAATTAATAAACTTTATCAATCAGCATAAATAAAAGAAGTTTTGACTGTTAATCCAATTGCTCAATTAGTTAAGTGTTGTCCACATCTGCTCGATTTCGAGGACTTCTACCGTTTAAATTTTCAATTGTTTATAAATATTTAATTACTAGTTTGATTGTTATGTTATGAATCAATGAAATGTGAAATAGATCATGTGCACAGGTATTTTATTATAAATTCACCTTTGTAATTTACCTAGAGTTAAACCCCACAAGTCCTTATAATACAACGACTTGTTTTCGTATTAATTACATTTAAAAGCTTAAGTATTCTTTACTTTTTTTGTCTGCCTAAAACGGGAAGCATTGAAAGTGAAAGGGGCTGAAACTGAGGGTTACTGTTCTTATGAGGTTTCCGTCTAGTAACTCGATAATCCAGTTATGATCCCGGAAAATAACGACGGACAACAGCAATGTTAATTAGAATTTGACAGAAGGAAATTATCTATTCGTTGTATAAAATAATTCATTAGAAATAAGATCAACTTGCAAACCATAAGTATTACATTTCACTATACTAAATTTAAAGGTTAATAAATACTTATGAGGTAACCGTCTTACCTTTTAATTATTATTAGTTGACAATTTTCGAGTTAAAAATGTGTATAATATATGTATATTCTGATTAGAATAGATTAGCAGTTACATTGGTGGTTTTTAGTTGGAATTCAATAAAATTTCAATTGTTATGAAGTTAGAAAAATCCATACAGTTTTAAGTAAATAAATCAATCAAATACCAAATTTTCATTGTTGTAGACATAAGTACAGCTACAGCACACTAGGCGATCAATAAAATCATTCGAAATATCTGGTATCAAATTATTTATTAATATTTAAGGAATGCCTTACCTTAAAACCTTAACGAGCCGCTTGGTCTGGATTATGTTGTATATGATGCATATGAATCGAAGAAACTCTTGGATTAAAAGTTCCAAAGACACAAAATATAAGTCTCAAATTTCGTTAGATTAATAATTTAAATAATTAATTATTAAATTAATACTAATTAATGGATAAACCGTGTTCAAACAGCGACGTTGAATTGCAAATATAACCTAACCGTTATAGTAGTAGTACTTAATTATGTAGTGAAAGTAACAACACATTCTTTTAAACGATCTCAATTTTTTAAACGTTTTGTGACTTGATGACACTAAACTAACTTTAATTTTGAATGTAACATAATACATATGTTCAATTAAAAACATTAAGCACACCATACGTACACTAATTATTCACCAAACACAACGATTATCTATATAACTGGAACTGCGCGAAGATGTCTTCATAATAAACAGTTATCGCGTCGTACATCAATCTGATGCCAGTATTGTGAATGCCAGTGGTGGTTCGTTGATTAGACGCCCTAAGAGTGTCAAGAAGCGATTTTGGCCTAATTATTGTTAACACTGAATACCTGCAGTTACATAATAATAACAACAATACAAACAACGATACCCAATATTTAGTAAATTGCCCAGGTTAAAAGACTTCACTGCAATTCATTGGCTTTCACGGCCAGCAAGGACTGTTCTGTTGGAGATTATAATGTTTTGCTTTTCCAAACGTTTTTGACGTTTCATACTGACGGTATCATCAGTAAATCACTGAAGATACTAAATAAAATGGATGATTAATAATCTCTAAAAGAAAAATTATTTCTTACTAAATGTATTTCGATAAAACTTGTTGGTAAATAAGTCTTCTTAATTATGTATTTAGGGAGTAAATGTCGTGTAATTCTTGGATTTTGCATTGTCTCTAAACACTTTAACAGTTTTTTGTACTAGAAACAACAAATGTTGAAATGATGAGGGCTTTGAATCGGATGAAGCATCCTAGTTGTCCTGTTAGGGTACAAAAAATTTTATTTTATTATTTATCTAATTATTAAAAACGCGGCATAATATTGAAGAGTTCTACAGTTTTTGTATTTTTCCTATAGTGAGAGTATTGTTTTATTGGAGAACTAGACAACTTTTTTGTTTTTAGGATGTATCTCCCTGTATAAACATCCCACCTCATACTAAATAGTTCCAATTTTATTAAATGATCATGTCTGGGCTGCGTGGAACTAGTAAGGAGTTCCTAAAAGGATTACTATAAAAAAATACCATACGTACCTTTGCAAAAAAGTTGACAAGTCAGAGCCGGACTGCGTTATATTAGGGGTTTTCAATAGGGCGCTCAAAACAGGGCCGGATCGGAATAAGTATGAAATCTTCTAACACGACTACGATAAGAAAATTAACTCAGGACCCTATACGAATAAGCAAGGATTTTCGTAGTAGGGAACCCCTTTTACTACCTATTAAATGGCAATTATGGATATTGTAATACAGCTTTCCCACTAAAACATGACCAGGTCTGCTTGTAAGTACGAAGAAGGTGTATACTGTAAAATGAAAAAAAAAAAAATGTTATTTTTTACTTTTCCTATTTTTTATGACCTTGTATAAAGTTTTGTCGAGGTGTTATCGCACAAAACAAGTTGAATCATAAAAATATATAAAATTA